TTTGTAGGTATTGATACTAATGGACACGCCCACAGACCCACTTCAAATGAATATCTTAAAAATATTGCATTTGTTGACCAAGGRATAAAACAAGTTGTTGATATAATAGATGGCTATTATAACCATGATGRGAGAACAGCTTATGTTATGACRKCWGACCATGGTATGACCAACTGGGGCTCTCATGGTGCAGGCCACRCCCAYGAAACYYTGACACCCCTTATAGCATGGGGTGCAGGGGTACAAGGGCCAGCTTTAAGTCCAGATGACAGTGCTGAGGACCAAGAAACAAGGGATTGGAAATTATCACACTTGAAAAGAAAGGATGTCAATCAAGCTGATATAGCGCCGCTTATGACATCACTTATTGGTAAATAAACTTWACATGTGGACATGTGTTAGTTTTGCTTTTGTTAACTCTGTGGTGTTCTGTCATAAAGAGTGTTCTTATATGTCTGTTTAGAGTTGTCTTCAAAGATGTTGATAAAGGGTTTTTTTTGTAATCCTCTAAATTCACTAGTGCTATCTTGTTGTTGTAGGAGTGCCATTTCCTCTGAACTCTGTTGGAATTCTACCCACTGAATACTTAAACAACACTGTTGAGTACACAGCTGAGAACCTGTTTACCAATACCAGGCAGATCCTGGCACAGTACCAAGTGAAGGAAGACTACAGAAGGAAGACATCTTTGCTTTTTAGACCATTCRCTCCRCTTATAGGTATCAACTCTGCTTCAATGGTATTTTGTTTCATATTGATTTGTTTATTTCATGGTTTTGTGTTCAATTTCAGGATCAAAGCAAGTTGGAATAGTGAGAGATATCAAGACTGCACTTCGTTTGGGTAACCATGAGAAAGCCTCATCGCTAAGTAGAGAACTAATCGACCTTTCGTTAAAAGGCTTGAACTATTACCAGAATTATGACAGAGTTTTTCTTAACAGCATTGTGAGTCTTGGGTTTGTTGGATGGATAATTTACATTGTGCTGTGGATTGTTCAAACCCATACTGACATTTTGGCTCACRGCRTTCCCATGAAGACTTTTCTCCAAGAACGACATATTAATGTTCTATTTGTAGCGTTTGGACTGGTTGGAGTCTTACTTCTTGCAATTCAGTCTGCTCCTTTGATGTATTATRTCTACTGCTCACTGCCATTCTTGTTCTGGAATCATATCAGTAAGAAGGCTGATTTCTTTTGGTCAATTTATGGTTATATTGTTGCTCAAAGGGTTTTTAAGAGATTGTTTCTCACGATAATCTTTGGATTGTTGTCTTTGGAAACACTTGTCCTGAGCTTTTTTCAAAGAGAAATCCTCTGCATTGGATTATCATTCTTTTCTCTGTGGATTTTATCTACCAAACTGAACTGTTATACAACAAAGGCTTGCTGGATGGTTATGGCTGCCATTGTTGCAGTTTTTCCAATGTTRCCTGTTGTAGGTCGAGAAGCAAACTACTCACTCGTGACGCTAGCAGGAATGCTATCTGTCATAGCATATACAGCATTCCTGTTGTACTGTAGTAACATTTCTCTTGAGTTTAAAGCTGAAGCTCTGAAGTGTTCCAAGATTTTAATWTATCAATTTCTGTCAATCAGTGTAGCTRTATACAATGTCAATACCACAGCAGCAAGCTTGAAGGAAAAGAGAGGCCTTCCTATCATAAACCAGATCTCAAGCTGGATAATCCTACTATCAGCATTTATAGTACCAGTCTTCAGCTCAAGGAATTTAATATTACGTATGACAAGTATAGCACTTGGACTGATATCTGCCTATTTACTGATGAGCACCTCATATGAAGGACTGTTTCTTCTTGGGTTRTCATTGCTAGTGTCATTATGGGTAATACTTGAACACAAACTAACAAATGGTACACTGRAAAGCYTGTTATCYATAAAGATTGGTGAAGAAMCTARCTCAAGTCCTTCCTGGAAATTGCTTACCAATGGTTTAAATGATACTTTGGTGAGGCCTTTAACCCTGGAAGACCTGCGATGTTCTTATTTTTTTGTTTTCTTTATAATAACAGCATTTTTTGGTACAGGCAACATAGCAAGTATCAATAGTTTTGATCCATCATCTGTGTACTGTTTTCTGACAGTTTTCTCTCCATTTATGATGGGTTCCTTATTGCTTTGCAAAGTCTTCATCCCATTTGTCATTGTTACCTCGGCCTTTGATGCTATCCATGTCATTCTACAAGTTCCTGTGTACAGTCTGTTCCTGGTAGTACTGGTATTTACTGATATTATGGGACTTCATTTTTTCTTCCTGGTCAAGGACTATGGTAGTTGGTTAGAGATTGGAACTAGTATTAGTCATTATGTGATTATGATGACTTTTATTATATTTTTATTCCTTATCTTTGGATTAACAAGACTATTTACCGGTGCATCAATTGCATTGACTGACGATAAAAAGAAAAGTTAAAGATCTTAGACATTTGAATCGTATTTTTTTGAACCATCAGTTCTAGTAATTCTTGTAATAATGATGSAAATAAAAAGTTTTTGCATTATGTGTGTATTTTATTTATAAATGAGTGCTGGTTCTTGTCTACAAATACATATGTACATCAAATAATGTTAATTTACCTTACTTATCGGTAKTATGAAAATATTAGAATGTTATGATGACTATTGTTCTTGTAATATGGTCATTTTGCAATAAACAATTTTAACATASTTTTTCAGTTCTCCATCCTATTCAATCCATAATGATATTAAAAATCGAAGACTTAATGTTATCATATAAGTTGCTCTTCAACATGTAATTCAATAGGAAAAGTCTTCATGATCCTGCTATGCAGACTAGGCCTGGGTGATCTTACTGAGATTTATGTAAGACTAGTGSCRTGCAKTCCTCATATTCATATCTTTGTATGTAAGATTAAGCAGATCTCTTTTTCTAGCATTTAGCAATATATCATGAACATACTTTATCTAAAACTTACTCGTTTTTGTCTTTTATTGTTAGTGTCTTTTGTGTTCATAATTATGTATCGTTCCTGCTGACGTTGAATTTCAAGTTCAGACAGTTGTTGTTTATGATTTTCCTTCTGCTTAGCAAGACGARCTTTGAGATCTTTGATTTTTGCATCTTTTGATGTCAAAATATCATCTTGTTTGCTGCAAATAACTTCCATTTCTAAAATAACAGACATTTGGATAATAAACTCCTGGCCCGTATATACTTTTATTTGCTACTCTCTTTTCCTTTGATGGTTGCAACATTTTGATGGGTTGCAGACAGTGTAGAGTAAMACAGGGATCCCAATAAGCATATTAAAAGTTAACTTACCTCCACATTTGTTCAGTAATTCAGCTTTTGCTTGCGATTCTTCCGTGGCAATGTGCTTTAAGTTTCCAAACCTGTAAAATTAAAGTGTTTAGTAACTTTGTTTTMCAGGAGTTTTAATATACCTTCAATATTAATAAATGAAAAGTGCAAAATGCCTACATACGCTTTCTCAAATGCATCCTTTTCTCTTTGTAATTGTTTAGTAAGAATATCAATTTCACCAAGGGCAAACTCCAACTTTTCGCTTTCACTGGCAAGCTTTGCCTTGGTCTTCATGTGTTCAAGTTTTTCGTCCTGTTAAAATTTACATAGCATTCAGCATACTTGCTTGGTTAGGAGACAATAAGCTAAATAACAATGGAAATTATTCACTGCATTGATGTCTACAAAAATTTTCACGTAACAATAATAAACAAACCTCAAGTTGATTCGACAATCTTTCATAATCGCTTAGTGGAACAACATTTTCATTTTTTGAGTTGCACTGAAAATAAAAATTTGTTTAAATGTTTACAAATCGATATTAAAACCTTAAATTCACTCAAGCAAACAGCTAACGAAGACTTTGCCACATTTGTAAACAAGCTCGAAAGTTGTTGTTGATATTAGTATATCTTACTTCTGTATTTTTGAACTTACCATGGCATTAGCTTTAGCCAACATATTCTCCTGTAAGCGTACAAGATCTTTTAATTGTCGATTTACTATCAAATACGTAGCCTCTTCCATTTTTGTTATTTTGCTTTTCGCGCTYATTCGACTTAGTCTCCCACAGGGAGCCAAGGCCTGGCTGCYTAGCAAATTAGCACAGGGTACCCARCATYCAAAATATTGGGGTTCCGCTTTGAACTGTGACGTCATATGCAGCTGTAAAGTCGTAAATCCTCCCACTCACTCCTTSCCCCTTGGGATCAGTGTGTGAATGCGTGTTTTTTCACGTTGATGTGTAATTTGCTAGCAAAATGTTGATTCACGTCCTCAAAAGTGAAACTATATAAAATATTCGTGCAATGAATGAATATAAAGCTGAATAAAGTTTCCCTTCGTTTGAAAGAAATTCTCATTTTAATTATTACGACTCTCATTTTAATTATGACGAAAGGTCACAATCTCAGTCCTCCCCTGAAAGTAGACTTCYTGATTTTAAACGTGTTTTTTCATGTCCCTGCGCCACTGACCTTTAAGACTCATAAAAGGTTAAAAGCATTCTCAATGAGAACGAGCTCACAAACGCAGTTCAAAGATGTACATCATTCAGACTGTGATATTGCTTTCTCTTTTGGTATCTTATTTGGTGGACGGTGCTCAGTACCAGGTAAGTAGTAGTACACGCACGACTGCGCTCAAAATTTCACTCTAATTTATATTCAATATCRGATATAATATCGCCGACGATACTATAATATATTTTACAATCCTTCAAAGAAAGCAAGTATAGTTAAYTATTTATCCTTGAATCAATCCAAAGATAAATATCATTAAGCTCATATTATTCCTATAGGTTATATAATTATGGTTATATAATGATTTGACAAATCACACTTAGAGATACACCTACTTGCAGAAACGTTGTCATAGAAAATAKAACATTTGAATTTAGTAAAAARKAATAAATTAARRCAAGACAAAAGAAAGTGTTTAGCTTYAGTGATCTTCTTTTGACTTTCTTAATWTATTCCTTTTTACWAAATACAAATGYCCTATTTTTTATGACGTTTTTACARGTAGGTGTAGTCATATCATATTCAGGATTTTGGCAYTGCAAAATAAAACAAAAAATCATGTTTTTCTGCAAGTTTATTCAGTTTTGGTGTYATTGCCTTTGARGTACCTGCCAACCATCACGGGTACAAAGCACTGAAACAACTTGACGTACGATGATAATTTAATTGCTCTCTTTAATACCCAACTCAGTCAATAATACACGAGTTTAAATTTTATAGCGTTGTTTATAGAAAAATTTATCGAATCACAAATAAAGAAATTGAATTACCTTACACTACTAGTAACTGAATRATCTGATAATGATCTTTATGATCTTAAAGACTATGTCGTCTTTTGCATGCTGCCATGGGCTCCTAGTGCTGCCCACGCACCAACATAATATCCGCCAAAAGCTGCACCCATTTGAGAGCTAGGAAACTCCTACAATTCAGTGTCAATTTTTGTCGTTTTTGACTTGCTTTTCATTTGAACTTTGGCCAAGCTGTATAAACGTGTCTAGATAAACGCGATGTACTTCATGTAACAACGATGAGATACCAAGGGATGATGCAATGCGGAATTCTATTGCCAAGGCTATGTTACGTTTATAACGTTATGTTGAGATTAAGGTGTGGCATGAGCAAAACGTGACTGACATTATCGGGGTGTGAAGGTGAATATTGAATAATGAATAACGACTCAAAATTGACCGGGAATAATGAATAATTAAATAAAACTCCTAATAAATAATAAATAATGAAAAAATCAAAAAAGAATAATGAATAATGAAAAAATCAAAAATGTCATAAAGAATAATGAATAATAGCAAAAATATATATACAATGAATAATGGGGAAAAATAAGACACGAATACAGAATAATTAATTGGCATGTAAATATTCACCTTCAGGCCGAGACATTACTACTTATACATGCTATGCTCGTATTGAAGAAGATGAAGTACGTCACTCCATTTCAAAAAGTCAGAAATAGTCATTTTTGCGGAATATACACTATTATAACATTACAGCCTTTTGCAAAAATTATGAGAATTGTTGAAATATCTAAATATCATAATATCAAGTGCATGATCCCGCGCGATGCCCTTAATCCCTTGTCTTTGTTGTTTAGTTTTTTTTGGCGACAGACTTATCTGTAGTTCTGAACATTTTCTCGATGTCAACAATGAATTATTCTAGCAAACTCGCGTGTTCCGGACAATATGTGGATATGGATATTATGATATTTAGATATTTAAACAATTCTCATAATTTTTGCAAAAGGCTGTACATATTTTTATATATAAATATGAAGTATTTTATGACATTTCTTACTAACAATTTACAGTGCCCTGGCACTTCAACACAAGCGTGTTCTCTAAAAACAAAGTGCTTAAGTGATACATTCATTGGCCTGCTACCACAACTCACCAAAACAAAGTGTATTAGCACTTGCCAGAAGCATAATGCACAAGTAACTAGATTGTGTCAAGATAACTGTCCAATAGGTAAGAAAGAACTTCGCAAACAACCATGAAGTACAGAAGGGGGGTGGGGGGCTGGGTGAGAAGGAGAGTGTTTCTCAGTAAAATTTTAATTTTCAGTGACCGTGGTCACTGTCAGAAGCTCATGTGAGACACCGACACACGACTAGCCCACACGGTGCAGACGGTATCACAGAACGTAGTGATTGTCAATTATTGCTTTTACAGCTGACTGCATGGTGTGCTTAGAAGAAGTTCAGAAGATCGTCGACAATTGCAAACAGTTTTACAAGAAAATCAAGGGACARCCTGTTGGCGACTGTGACGTCATGAAACGAGAGCTAACTAAATGTTGCAGCCATCAATCTGTTTGTAAAGGTACCAATGTAAACCCTCTCATTCAATCCTAATCTGGCTTCGAATCTATCCAATAAAATTTGAAATCTTTTGTTTTGTTTACAGTCTGCCGTGATTCGTTCTGTCAAAATGGCGGAGTCTGCAAAGGCGGGTCAAATATMTTCTCTTGTAAATGTCCACGTGGTTATACTGGAATATACTGTCAAAAGAGTAAGTGAAATAATACAGTGATAGGGAAATCAAAGCGACCTTTCTACTTTCGAGGGGAGGGCTTTATTTTGTCTCGGCAAGAAATCTTTTTAGCTGAGTTGGCAAGTGAGGACTTGAATTTTATTTGCCAAACATGCATGTATTGAAGTGCTACATTGCATTGCAGGCCAGTGTGRTAATGGCAATTATTGCCGAAATGGCGGTACTTGTATAGGACCAAACACMTGCGCATGCCCAGCTGATTATACAGGAAAGCTTTGCAAACGCAAAAGACTGGGTACCAAACTCAACCCAGCTYGCAACGCCCAAGCTATTTTGGACGYCGGCGACAGTGTTGGCAGCGGTTTRTATTGGATCCAGCCTCCAGGCGAAGACCAGGCCGCACAAACATACTGYGATATGACATACAATGGTGGGGGATGGATGCTGGCCAGTTATGGGTACGTTGCAACAGCGAGTACGGGGAATAACAATAAAGCAATTCCTAATATGAATAATCCCATGGGATATGCTTGGCGGCCAGCAAGCAGGGCAAGTCGAAATGGTGTGATTAACCTTCCCAATGGTGCTGTAATGATGGCCAGGAGCGCTACTTACATGATAATGGCGGCTGGAAACAACCCAAACWCTGACATCGATCAATATTCTCACGTTTACCGCATTGATTTACGTCAGAACACCTTYAACATCACATTCGCCAATCACAATGCAGTTCACGGCGCAACAGGASGTAATGGAWTCCCTAAGATGCACGTATCTGACTTTTTAGTGATCGGATTGAAGGGTGASGTGGGCGAATTTGAGAGGTTTGCATTGGCCGAGTCCTTAGGTGTCACGTGGCCAGACACCTATCCCACTGGGTACGGGTTCAATGACATCGGTCAACAGACGGSYTCWTGGTCCAAGGGGCCGTTCTTTCCCAGTGTGCACTCGGGTGATCGTCCTGRTAAAGGATGCGATCACGGTCCSCCATGCAGGATTTATCAACCCGATATAACCCAAGGTACCGAGAGRTACRTCCAYCGTGGCTGGTACACAGCATCAGGATCTGTTAACCAAGTTGGACAGACTTCAATTTGGTTCAAGTAAAAATATCTAAAAACCTTGACACAAATCAAACACTGTAGGTTAAMCWTTAATAATGCAATAAAAAATCCCAGAATACCCTACCACTGCATWTTATTCTAAAAATAACTTCATTAAGATAAACGACGGTTCGCCCCAGTCTTCCCTCTCTTTCYCTCTTATGACATCGTTAGTAGGCGGAAACCTCAGTGTATTAGTGTTAAGAATCAATAGGCTTCTAATAGGATATCTTACATAGGGCACTTACTAACAGAAAGCCAAGAGAAACGACTTGGAAGAGTCAGCGCGAGACTTAATTACCAATATGGACGCCATTAGTTGAATTATGTTGACGTTATGTTAAACATATTCCAAAATAAAACGGACAAATTTTCAACTTTCTATTATAGTTTATTACTTCAAAAAAGACCAAATAAATTACTTAAAAAAGACCAGATAAAACAAAAAAGACAATCGGCGGTTATTTTGCAGTCTCAAAACTCTACTGACAAATATAAGTAGTCCCATTAGAAAATGGAATTAAAGATGGCGGCCATATTGCTAATAAGTACCAGTACGGTATTCAAATAAATAGGGACTAAAGCGATAAAGAGTAAAAAAAGGCTGTATTGGTAATACGGTTTATTCAAGTTGGCGCGGTTGTAATGGTAAGTAAGATCTAATGAGCAAGGTGGCTACGCTGTGTTACAGTGTCCGCCTCCGTGAATACATCTTGCGATATTCATTTACTCCATAATGACGTCACTATGAATAAACTATACCGCCTCCCACAGCTAACGCTGACAAACGCCCGTTGCTAATCTGCGGGCTCACTGGCKGTTGCAAGGAATTGTCATTTATCSGTTCTAGCGGATACAGCATGGAGGAAGGTCTTGAAGGAGCATTTGATTGTGTTTGTAATTGACTTCTAATATTTACAGTTGAAGCATTTATGCGAAAGACTTCCGTCTTGTTTTGATCAGGATAGAAGAGAATAATTCGTACTTTATGATAATACATGATACATGTCACTGATAAAGTCGAGAAAATGACCGTCAAACAATGAACAAACGCTCTGTTAGCGCCTGTAGAACTATAAAATGCTGGAACAAAACTCAACCAAAACACGCAGAACGAAAACATGGCAAAACCGATGAATTTGGCCTCGTTGAAGTTTTCAGGCAGGAGTCTTGCTCTGTAAGCAAAGTAGGTCGATACAAGAGCAAGTARGAGAACGTAAGATAAAACAATCATTTGTAGAGAATCTGCGTCTGCGCTACAATGAATCATTCGATGAAGCTTRCCAGTGTCTATCTCGGTTATWGCCGGTGGACGGATGACTACCCACATCGAGGCTATAACAAGTGGAAGTGACGTCAGACCTGCGGCGGTCATAAGCTGCATTTTATTGGTCAGCAGTCGACTTTGTGAAGATAGTCTTGACCTGGAACGGAATATGCGCASAAGACGATCTGTTTTTAGAAGAGTTATTGAAGTACTGATGGTGAATAAAATAGAGAAAAAAAACGACCTCACCCCACACCTCACAGGAGTGGGCTTACCGATTAAAAAGAGTGAAAATGCAAAATTTGAGACTAGAAAACTAAGATGAATCAACGAAAGTTCACGGTTGGACGCTTTGACGACGGCTGTCGAGCGATATCGAATAAAAACCGCTAAAATAAAAACACCATGAAGAATWCCCAAAACTGAAACTATCACCACAGACAAAGCTTGTCCACTCGACCAGTCCAAGTAATCATMCGTTCTTTTATTRCACACAGTACGGTTCGAGTTTGATTCATGTCCCTCGGRACAGGGTGTACAGGGCTCTARCCCGCGGGACTTCTTTATGGAACCTTTGGGGCATTTGACGCAAGTCCAGCAGCATTTCGTACTACCGTTGACGGCGTACTCGCCTGGGAAGCACAGGTCTTCACATTGTGAAGTTGGCTTTTCTTTCACCCATCCGTTCCATAGCAATTTTTTCCCACTGATGAATTCCCATTTTCCATTTACTCCATCCCATGATCCTAATTCAATGAATTTCATCTTTGTGAAGTTAGCGTTGACTGGTTGAAGGCTTTTGATTGCATACGYTCCATACATCAAATCGCCATTCTTATCAAAAGAAATGGTCTTTCCTGAACGACCAACAAATGACACGTTTAGAACGTACTTTAAAATATCTACTGGYTGTATTGTTGGGTTTACTGAAGGACATTTACTATTAACTAGAAGTCCTTTTCCTTCTTTGCAATCTAATATTGCATTCACACTTCTCGCTACGGCGTACACAGCATCCATTACATTTGTACATTTATTCCTTGGTAAACGACTTGCCGACGGAAGTCCTTTGTCTTTTGGGCAAACAACRGTGACGTTTCCATCTGTRTTTGGTTTATAGACGAAGAAATTGTCGTTTGTGTATAATTTAGTGGTTGTATTTACATCAGATGGACTCGTATTCATATCAAATGTCAGACAATSAAACTCCTTCTCCCAATACTCCTTGAACCAAGGATTTCGTGCCGAATTACCAGGATTTAAAACATTTAAATGTTTCTCAAATGGTTCATATCTTTTTAGCTGCGGCACAATCCCAAGCATTCCCCCCACAATTTCTGGGCTTAAGTCGTACAGCAAGTACGAATCACCCCACGTTTCTGTACCAATCCATGTCTTTCCTTTCAAACCAAGTCTTGTAGCTTGTTGCAAGAAGCCAATGGCGATTGGTCGCTGACACCAAAGAACAACGACATTCGCTCGCACTTGTTTTTTCAACAGTGTGATAATCTCAGTTAATTCTTCAGTATACAAATTAGGATGAAATATTATTTCTAAAGCCATACAAATATCACGCCTTTTAAGCTCGGTTTTTAAAGCTCCAATCCCTGCACGTCCGTACTCGCTGTCTGACGCTACAACGGAAACGTACGTCCATTTAAATTCCGCAAGTAAATCAGCAATGGATTTTGCCTGGTACGTATCTGATGGAATTGTACGTAGAAACGAACGGTATGTTGCTTTGTTGCTCAATAAAACGCTAGTTGAGGAGTAGCTGATCTGTGGAATGTTAGAAACGCTTAAGATGTGCGACACTTTAGTTGATATCGGGCTAGCTGCACCCCCTATAACTGCAGAAATGCCAGACGTTTGCGGCCCGCACGTACATGATACATTGTTATTGCGTTTAGTACTATCCTCAAGAATAAAATCTAAAGCAGTACTTACTGCATTGTTTACATCATTACAAGAATCTCTGATGTCAAASCCTAGAGAATAATTACCAAGTATGCTACTTGAATTGTTGATTTCATCGATGACAAATAACATTGCTTCTGTCCAAGACAGACCGTAGTAGTTTAAATCTTTCACAGCTTTCCCTTCTAARGTTTTCGATATGTGAACTGGAAATAAGCCTCCGAGTGTCATGTTTGCACTTCGGCTACGGAGGACATGATTGTTGGAACAAAGATTCAAATTAAGACACTGTTTAAAACTGATCTGAGACGCAAGAATGAACCAGAGAAGAACGCTTGTCGTCCACATCGCCGCAATGAACATACACCTGCACAAGAACTATTCATTCCAAGCAGATATCATCTTCATCTTTGACATTCACTTTTTTCTTTTCGTCAAGCAACAAGACAATTTCTCACCATCTCAATTCTTARACGAACCACAAAGCAAACAAATGACGAAACGAACTAATCAAGGCAAACATAGGCAGCTGAAACTTAGAATAACTTCAGTAGATGATAACCACACCGAGTTTTCAATGAATATGGAAGWATTACAAGTAGATTACCCCGGCGATATGCGACACCAAAAGGAACAACGCAATACTGCGCGGTAATATTTCAATCACGGAAGAGGTTTCATTTAGGTTTTGCCAATAAACTAGTCAAGGTTAACATGATTATGTCATTTAAAGTGGGAAGAGAAATCTGTTAAATGAATGGATTACAGTTTTGCTCGATAAACTGCATGATATATTACAAATACAATATCAAAACACGCGAGAAAAATGTACAAAAAAATCTTTTAATATTTTAAGAAAAGCAATGAATGAGSTCATGATAAACTTCAGAGTTTCTTCAAACAGGCACTACCGTTGAACTGAACGAAATAAATTCAATTTTGTTTTTCAAAAATCAATTTAGGATTAACGCTTATTTCCCTTTGTCCTGCTGCGTACAATTAGCAAAAAWTATTCCGTTTTGATCTGAAAATTCATTATAATTATAATTACAATTGTGCCTTAAAACACGTTGTTAATAACTGAATTTCGGCGACCAAAAAGTTTAATATTTTTCAAATATTAAAGCACTTTTCTTGCTTTTCATATAAGACTATCCGTGACATTTTAATGAGTCAAAAATCTATCGGTTGCTATATAGAGGTRACTATGTTTATATTTCTTCTTTACCTTTGCCGTTTTGTTGATATTTGTGCTTTTGGTTCTCTAAATCTAAACATATTTAAGAACGACTTTTAATAAACAGCAGTTCAACTAAAATTCACAACTCGAAAATCGAAATATAGTTAAAAAAGTAGAAATTACCATCATTAAAGAGAGCACTTATTTTCATTAGGCACCACTCAAACACCGCATATCACATGTGAAGACTTTGGTGCACTCATATGCACTCATACTATCAGCACTGAAACACAGTAATGCAGGTAATGCAGTACCAATTGAAACCTGCTTTCCTGAAACATGAGGCGTTTGTTAGTTATCACATAGACAAAGCAGTGACACATTTTCGAAATAAAAGTAATAACATCGATAACAAAGACGAATAAACATAATTCAATGGCCGTGAAGGATATAATAGCTAGGGGACAAAATAAATATGGAACATGTTTCAGTTTTAACAGCTTTAGTGTAGATAATGGGCAAAACTAAGMCAGCAAAGTACAAGAAGATTAAGGGTTATTAAAGACGAATAGCTTAGCAATGCCAATAGAAGGAAAAACCAAACAAAAAAAGCCATCTAGGACATCTAMAAGGAAAAAAGAAGSAAATGCCTGAAAATACGAATACTTGTGAAATCGAGGAATACGAGAAATGTGAAATCAAGCAAATTGTGATAAATGAAAATTGTGAGATGAAAGAAAGGAAGACAACGAGACAGATCAAAAAGATCGTAACTCAATACCTGCATATTAGGTACTGTAAAAACCTAGTCAGCTTAGGTAGCAAATGACTTTCTTATATCAACAAAAACGTTCTGACAAAGAAGGTATTTCCTGCACTGTTTACCCAGTCATTTTTCAACAGATTTAATCTTTGACATAAGACTTTATACTGTGTCTTGAGAAAAAGAAAAATATCATTATCATAGACAAGAGTGACAGCAAAGTTAACACAACAATAAAAAGTTTCAAAGGCAATAASCACTACTTTKAATGGATTGCAGAGGATATTGCCACCAAGAGATGCACATTTAYCTTCAAGTGTTGAAAAGATCTCAACATAAGATGAAATCTGTATCTCTGTGACCTTGTCATATTCTGTTTGTCATAYGATAATTCATGAAAGCAAATTGMGTTTTAATTTTTTTATTTGAATACTTYGAAAATATAGAGGTAACACTATTGTAATTTCCAAAAGTGAGAAATAAAGATATTTCATACCAAATTTTCTGATAGATTGGAATATTCTATGTGCCTTTTCATCTTTAAATAAATTAAAAATTATTTTTACAATAATGTGAAATAGTATGTGTTTAAATTGCATATATAACAGTAGAAAAATACATGTTTTGAATTCCTAACTTTAAAAGTCTAACAAATGAATAATTGCTAATTACAATATTTTCCTCCAATGTGTGCCATAAGCATTTGCACCTTTCCTATTTACTGATAATGATTAAGAACGACTTTTAATAAACAGCCGCAGTTCAACTAAAATTCACAACTCGAAAATCGAAATATAGTTAAAAAAGTAGAAATTASCATCATTAAAGAGAGCACTTATTTTCATTAAAGTAGGCACCACTCAAACACCGCATATCACATGTGAAGACTTTGGTGCACTCATATGCACCGAATATGAATATGAATATGAATATGAATATGAATATGAATATGTTTTTTTATAAATATATTTTGCAGACGTATATTCTTCCGTGTTCTACAAGAGACTACGGGTAGCCCGACTAATTATAACAATCTTATTTCACTAATAATGGAAAGTCACAAGCAGAAATGCCAACATATTAAATTTGCCATAAGTCTTCTGGGCTTAATACATGGGCAAATTGTATATTACTCTAAATAGAAACCTTTCATTACATTTGCATGATATTCGATGGTGTAACCATGACAACATTGGAGCTATTGCTCGGCTGTGAAACAATCCTTAATACACTGACAGAGGAAGTCTGGGTTGGGTTTCTTGGAAACCCCAGCAACAGGCAATCCCTTGTCAATCATGGCTTTATTTGTAGTGTTGCCAATAGCAACCAGCTGTGAAAAAGAGAAAAATGATATATTTTACCATAAGAGAACCAACAAAATCAAATCACAAGCATTAATTAATCTGATTCAAATCTGCATTTAAACAACATTGTGCAATAAAACATTCAAAAGGTCAAAGGTCAATGAAATATAAGTACCTTGACACTTGTAAAATCTTTTAGTACATCTTGTAGTATTTGTAAAGAATATTCAACACCAGAAGGGCTGAAGAACACTACTACAGATGGATGACCCTGGTTTCATAATGTTACATAATATGCAACGTTATCATGAGACTTGTAGTAAACAAAGAGAATGAATACTCTCAAAAAACCCTTTGAATTAACTGATTGCTTGTCGTAACATATTATCTAACCCTATGAGGGATATAGAATGGTGTCTGAGAAATTGTGAGGCTCTCCAAAAATTTCCCAAGGTTTGCAAGCTCAGCTCTTAAAAGAAAGGGTCTCAGATTTAAAATCAYTTTTGGCCCGGAAGCTCGCAATTACCGAAATATCAGACTTGTTCAGCCAAAGGCTCAGGCTCAGATTCTAAAACAAGGTCCTCGCAGGCTTGATGAGGCTCGGATCTTACCATTCAATACTCCTCCTATGCTAATAACCATTTCCAGGAAGACCTACCTTAGACTGAACCACCTCTAATACACTCTTCTTTATGTCTGGATGTGGACATGTTCTATAGACTTGGACACTTTGAAGATTTATTYCTAGATAAAATAGTTTATGGACATTAATAAACAGTAAAATAAACAACATCCAGTTAATATCTAAATAACCATAACGATAGCAATGGCATTTAACAAAATAATGGTGGGAACTAGCAATAAACTAGTGTAAGCTGCGTCTGTGTTTCTAAAGAAACAGTTGTGAAAAAAAGATAAATTTAACACTGTAAAAAAATAGGTGAAATGATGTTTCAGACGTTAATCCTTCGTCGGAGTAAAAAATAATAATGATTCATTACCTGCTTTGGTCATTTTATGTGGAATAGTTTCTTTGGTAAGATTTCCACATGGAAACAAGAGTGGTTTATTGTTGCTCTTTATTTCTACATTGATCAAAATAACAGCATTAGATTGAACACAATGATCTCAAAGGCTTAAAAGATAACAATTACAACTCTACAAGTTTATTCAGTTACCTTTTACAATCAAAGGCACAAGGTTTTCTGCACTTCCAGCCTCATAYCCTGAGCATGACAATCCAAGTTTGTCGTTCACTGCAAATTCAAAGYTGTATRTACAGTGTACATATATTATGATGATCATAGTCAGCAAAATCACAAACATACTTGACTGAGATGTTGCATCTCCAACTRCAAACAGATGAAGATMTTGCCATTCGTTCTTCAGGTGATCCAACCATTCTGACTGACCAATGCTAGTAACTGCAATTTCAAGTGCYTCAACACTTCTCTGGCTGGTCAGGATAATTCCTTAGGAAACATTCAGAGTTGGTTATGTGAGTGTGTTATAAAAATTATATGCTCAAATTGTGTTGTTTTTTTTTAACTTACGAACCACTGTGGTGATGAGGCTGGCTTAATAACTCTATTAGCTTGTCCAAGTTATGAAACTCAAATGACAAAACAGGTAAAGAAACTACAGTGAGCCCATTTGTTGATAAAATCTGTAAGAAAAACAAGATCATCTGACGATCACAACAACCACAACGGCAACAAAAAGTTTCTTTGACTGCTATTATGATCAATAAAAGTTTGTGGTATGAAAGGTAATGCAGTGGCTATACGGCCAAATGTTGAACAGCTGATATATTTGACTTTGATTCCACTGCAAATTGCTTCAAAAGTGACATAGCTGAAATCAGATTTAATTTAACTATTTTTGAGATGGTAAAATGTAGTTTTCACCTTGTGGTACTTATCATCATATTCAGGGCTCGATGGAGAACGAAGTAAAACCACCAGACCGTCCGCCATCTTGAAACATTCTAAACAAACACTGAAACAAACATGTCTAGATAGTTGGGATTCCTGTGGTTAATTCATTTCGCCATTAAATAAGGCGAGATTATTGACTGCATTGCATGAGTTCTTGGCATTAGACAGTRTAAATCGTCGTGCTTTCATATAATGGCAATCTCTTACTACTTTGCTCAAGGTTTTTGCGCAGAATGTACGTCGTCTATCTTCGAGATCCATTCGTGATCCTTCGTAAAAGCTTCGGATTTCTCCTCGACCAAAGCTCGTGATCGTGTCGGATTAGACTAAAACGTCAACGTCAAAGGACGCAGTCAACTGGATCAGGGTTGAAAGAATCAGAAATGGCTTTTTCTAACCTTTTCAAAGATGTCCCCCAAGTACCTACCGACCATGTTTTTGAAGTAAATGCTCGTTTTCTAAATGATACTAGTCCTAATAAAGTCAACATGGGAATTGGAGGTAGGAAAAGGTGTATGATGTGGCACTTCACTGATTCACGTCGCCAGTGTGAAAATTGTGAAATCCCCTAAT